AGCTTGGTATGTTCTAATACATCTTGCTATAATCAGCATCGTCAGTTGGCTTTGCTGTCGCACTCTAAAAATACCCTAGACTACATCCTAAGATTTATGGCTACTCCATTTGATCAGAGCATGCTGACCGACTTAAAGGAAAATAGAATGACCAACATTCGAGGGCCGAAAATGTAAAGGCGTTATGGTTTACACGAAAATGCAGAATGGTGACGTGCAAATATTACGCGTAGATCGTAGATATGAAAACTAAGATGGTGTAGCATTCTGTTTGGTCACAGTCTTCTTTAGCTTTATTGTGTTGGTTCGACCCTGTGGAACGTACCTAGTCCTGTTTCCTTAGCCATAGTATTCGTGATTTCCAGTATTTGACAATTGGCTGGGTACATTGGAAGGGAATATACTTAGCCAATGGTCCAATGTTGGAAATCACGAGGACACGGAACTAGGTACGTTCCACAAGGTCTCCCTAACGCTCTAACCAAGTTACGAAAGCAAGGTCGAGCCAATACTATAATGTGTAGAATTTGTAGATTGCTCCGCAAAGAAATTAAAATCTAGGAGTAATTACTACGTCAGGAGTTCCTCGTGCCTTAAATCTTGCGGGATAGGTTGATTAGCCAGCTGGGTGGAGACCTAGTAGAAGATTCATGTGGTATTTGTGTGCTGTGTGATAGTCGCGTATTCATATATAACGAACCCGATGAAGCAGGGATAGATTAGGGAGAGTCAATACAATTATTCCTCTTCTAAAAGGCTGGTTCGGAAAAGATAATCTCTAAAAATGACAATATGATTAATGAGGAAAGTTGATCTATGTTCCAGATAATAAATAAACACTTTTTCTTTGAAGTTATGTAGACCAAGATGGTGTGGTCCTCGGTATGGTCAGTTTCTTTTCAATGTATAGAGCTAAGTTGACCTCGTCTTCGCAACTTTGTCTTGTCAGGACGATTTTTCGGACAAGGTGCGTCCAACTAAGTCTTCCTGAAAACAAGTAAAAGGTGCGAAAACGAGATAAGGCCACTTTTTCTTTGCTTTATGGGATATGCGTACTGCTTTTTCTTCCATCTTAGTATAGGTTTTTGCGATGTGCTCCTAGTATTTTCGGCAAGTTTTGTTTCGTCCATTTTAGCTGACTTAAGTCTGTCTGTGCTTTTTGCCTATTGATGACTTTTTATTAGCTAAGTAAACGTTTTTTCCTCGGATAATCAAACAAAATAAGCCACGATAATTATGGAAATATCTGGTTTTCTCTGACATACGTGTTTGCATGTCGTAAGGTATTTAGCATTTCTGTGTAACGTGAAATTGGCTTGCAAGAAATGCTGCGTTGTTTCTTCATAGTGCTGGTGAGACTTTTTACGCAATCCTAAGATGCAATAGAAATGGATTGACCTCGTTAACGCAACTTGGTCTTGTTGTCAGGGCGACTTAGTAGAACGCACCAAGTCCAAAGTCGTTTGCCATAGTAATTATCATGATTACCAGCATCAGACAGTGGACTTGGTGCATTCTCAAACGTTTCTATAAATGGAAGGAGACTGCGACCATACCAGAGGCCGCAACATCTTGGTCTTCATATCTTTAATTAAACTAAGATTCAATGCTATTGCTGCTACGAGAAATTACATTATTTGATAGGCAGATTTGGCATCCGTAAACCATTTCTGCTGAACTGCATTCTGTGTGTCTTGATCGTGGTCCATAGTCTCAGCAGAACTATTGACAGAACTATTGACAGTCTGTCGAACTGTCAGGATTTCTTTGGCACCGTAATCAGGTCTTTAGATGACGACGAAATCACTCCACCAAACCATTAGCTTGTGAATGATAAGCCAAAGTATAAATCCTTCTTATTCGTGGGAGAACAATTCGGATTTAATTGGCAACTTTATGTGGGGCAAAATTTTGGCATGATCTCTGTTTGTAGCTTAGGCATTTGTAGGGCCCCTGATCATTATGGCGAGTAGGTGGCTGGTTATCCTTGGAAGGCAGAGGAGGAACAACAGTGTCAATGTAAATTCTTGAAACTTTCTTTGATAGGCTCCTAAATGCCATTAGGTGTGTTTGTATATATACTTTGTTTTTCTGACGTACCATGAAGCTTAATGCTTTTTCGGGGCTTCTGTGATTAGGTGGTTCGCTGCTTCGGAATTTAGATGTTCTATCATAGTGGCTCTTTCCAATACTATCTTGTCTCGCATTAAAGTTCTTTTCACATTGTCTAATAAAAATATCTTTTTTGAAGATATTAATACCAGGATGGTTTTTGTCTAAAATGAGCGTTGTGAGATAACTGACCAAGCGATGTGATCTGATCTCGATAATTCTTTTCTTTTCGCAGAGATTAAGCATCAATTTAATCAAGGAATGGACTTTATTTGTCTCTGACGATTTGTATTTTGGTTCTAAGGCTGGTAAGCCTCATTGATCATGCCTATTAAGCGTTTCGGAATGAGCCATATGAACGCTTCTAGGCTAGAATAAATAAGGACAACTCCGACTGAGGATTCAGTTTAGTCATGAATATGACGCAGAATTATAACTATGCTGCGGAAGGATATAGCCATCAAAAAGTCAATATTAATCTAGATAGTTACGTTAAGACTTATCTTAGGCCTATGAATTCCTATGCGAGGCTAAAATCAAGTGTTGGTAAATGCTCTACTCATTTCGAAGATGTCTTGATTGCTCCATTTTTATCTGGATTAACATCAAAGTATTATGTCTTAATTTCGTGAAACTTAAATTGGAAAACATTTTCCTTTTGCATCATATAATTAACATTTCCTAATTTGTAAAACCTTCCAACTAGGTCTTTATAAAATTATGTTTTCAGATCATTCACATTTTGTTAGGCATGTAATTAATCACATCATATCCACGTACGAAACCTAGGTGCGGGGGCCAACAGATATTTGGCCCAAACTTACGCTGCGACACCTAAGTGGATTTGAAGTAATTTTAGCTTCTTAACATAGAATCCTTAATGATATACTATTAAAATGTTTATAGTCCTTCATTTATATTTCCATGGGCGAATTATTTAATCTTAATATCTTATATTATATAATTTTTAGTATATTATTTCATCTCCAGTTAATTTCATGGCGTAAATCAATACGTAATGATTATTATTGTCTAGGTTTAGTCTAGTTTGAAGTTTATTGTATCTCCATTTTTTCATATTTATTTATATTATTCAATTCAAATTCGCTAATTTTTTACAGCTCATCTCTTATGCATATATATGTGCATGTATGCATAATCAGTTACTCTGGAACTTTGCTGCTGTACATTTTAGCACAATATTTTTATTTTTTGTTATACAGCCTTGACTTATATATATCCTATCTTATAGGTTTATTCACTTAATGAACTCTCGGATTATGGCTTCAGAAAGATCTCTATCAAATGGCCAGATAGATTTTTAAAATGTTTTGTAAACTCATAGTAGTTAAATTTACATATTGTCGTATCTTATGTGAGCTTTACTGGGATTAATGTAGCTTTTATTATTTATCTTTTATTGGCTAACGGTTCTTAAACTTAAATCGAGCCAACGACTATTTTTTACTAATTAAATTGTTAAAAACTTTCCTTGTCTCCGCACTTGTTTGTAGACTGCTTTTGAAGTGAGTGTCCCTGGACATTTAGGCCACTTAAAATCTCATATTCTAACTGGGCAACTGGGCCCTCAGCTACCTGATTTGGCGTCGTCTCGTCGACGATCTGCTCAAAGAAACCCTTCTTGCACTGATTTTAGTCATGATCGAGATCAGAACCAATTAAAACCTGGTGACGAAGTCGAGTCGAGCTCTAGTTCAAGTTCCAGTGATTCTGAACCAAGGGAAAGTCAGAGCAATGAAGGAACTAGAAGCGATCACTCTGATGCTTCGTCCAGGCAGCTCGAGCGACGCAGACGTCGCCAACACGACTGCTCCAAACCTGTTTCTGAGTTTTGCTTACAAGGCAACGTAAACGTGAGCACAACCAAGTCCTCGAGAGTCCGGCACGTTCGTCTACAACCTAGGCATACTGATTGGATCGAATCGGCGGATTCGAATCAGGATCAGTCAGTCGATAGATTGCATCACCAAGCCGAAGTTGATATCAGTCTCTGGTGAGTTTTCATTTACTGAGAACTATAGTTCATTTGTTCATTATTTCTTCCTCGTTCATACTCCTTTAACTAAAAATGAAAAAAATCTACTTAGAAATTGTTTAACCTTGT